GTCCTTAACAGGGGAAGAGTATCTGGAGGTGAGTCTGTGCAAAAAGAGGTCCAAAACTTTCCCCAGACCTTCCTCAGAGTTGAAACCACTCAGAAGACTATGAGTCATACACACATAGGCTGCATTAGAACACATAATAGAAGAATAAAATAATGCCATTTGCAGCAACATGGATGGACCTGGAGATCATCATTCTAAGTGAAATAATCCAGAAAGAGAAAGAAAAATATCATATGATATCACTCATCTATGGAACCCAAAAAAATTTTTTTAAAAAGGACACTAATGAACTCATCTACGAAACATAAATAGACTCACAGACATAGTAAACAGTCTGACGGTTAGCAGGGGAAAGGGCGTGGGAAGGGATAAATCTGGGAGTTTGGGATTTGGAAATGTTAGCCACTATATATAAAAATAGATTTAAAATTTTTGTCTTAGTTGATTTAAAAAAAATAGAACAACTTCTGGAAGTATTTTATGCTTGAATTCTGTCTCCTGGACTAGGAGAGCCTGGATCGTGAGTGCCATGGCGTTCCCGGGATGATTTGGCAAGCCAGTGGGTTCAGAGATGAAGGCTGAGGTAGGGCCCCACCCCTGCAAGATGAGGGCAAGTTTGCGGTCCTCTGTAACACCAGTAACGGGAGCATCTGGAATCTTATCTCATGCTTTCCCAGATTCCATGTTTCCCAGTATCAGTCAAGCAGTCCTGACTTTTATTGAAGAGGAGATCTGTCTAGAGATCTATTTCTTTACTGTTTCCTTCAGCATCTCAACAAAAAGACAAAACAACAACAACAAAAAGCCACCAGGTTGGTTCAATTATTTTGTGAGCTAACTTCAGAAAGAAAATTTGTGTTTCATTTCATTCTGACCTATAGAAATTTACAGTATTTTCTTGACTTCATAAAACCCAGGCCCTAGATTAGGCTGAATTCAAAGAAATATTTTTTCACAAAAATTCTCCAGATGAAACATTACATTCTCTCTACGCAACTGCATTTCTTCCTGTTACTACAAACTGCACCTCTCATTAAAAAGAAAAGAAGTTTGGGGCATTCCTTTCATTGTTCTCCCTCCTAGGACCGCATTATCTTTCTGAAATTTCATGTTATTTATCAGCACCATTTGGATTCCACTTGTTGGCAACCTACCAGATTGATTCTATACCAAATTTAGAAGATTCATGTCATTTAAATTTTACATATCAGGGAGGGGTATGTTATTGCTAAATGCATAAGACTGAGTCCACTAAGAGGCCTCCAGGAGCTCAGCATCCAACTGAGGGAGCAGAACTTAGCATATGAAAAACTCCAGAAGATCTCCAGGGATGAGCATCAGTTAAATACATGTGTGTGAGACGTCAGTAAATAACCAGAGCACGTGTGCACCATGAGAGACAGGGAAGGGGCCTGCAGGTGTGCCCAGCAAGGATTCAGAGAAGAATGAAGATTAAAGGATGGGATGGGTTTGGACAAAGAGAACCCAGAAGGCAGGCTTAATTTATAAGCTGATCAGTTTTGAGCAACTTATCAATTAGACGTATAATTAGAGATGAGGAATGACACAGATAGGGAGTTTGTGGCTGGACAGTGAACAGCTTTGAGGTCATAGGAGGAGACTAAGGAATAAGGTCAATATAAAAAATTATTTTCTGAGCTTAGTAGTGATCAAGCATATGGTAGATTCTCAAGTTTTTGTTGAATAACCAAATAGTTAATGAAAGTTCTTCTTTATAAGAGATTTTCAGGAGAAAAATCTGAGAAAAGTCGAATTAGAAAAAATACCATTTGTATATGTACGTATATGCATAACTGAATCGCTTTGCTGTACACCTGAAACTAGCATTGTAAATCAACTACACTTCAACAGAAAATAAAATAAAGTAAAATAAACAATGCCTGGAATTTAACCATATATCAAACTGTGACATAATCACCCAGAAATGGAATTACTTTCAAATGATTTTATACGTCTCTAAAGAACTGTTTAAAAAATTCTAAATTTAAAAAAGAAGAAAGAAAAATACCATTTGTAACTCGATGAGAATAATGTATCTGGACAGAATAGATGCTAAAAATATTACGAGAAATATTGATGGGAAACCCTGCCGCTGGCGACTCCATCAACTCCACTTAGTGTGAGGTGGTCAGACAGTGAGCGTGCCCTGCCGGTATGCGAGAGCAAGTGCTCAGCTATGCAGGCTCATGCCAAAAACTGACCCTGAATGAAATCAAGCTTCCAGATCTAATTAACCAGTTTACGGGAAATGCAGGGGTTGGAGAAACATGTTAAACAACATCAACGAAATTCAGAAAGAGGAAATTCTAGAGGACAAATGACCTAGTTTCTCCAACAAACAAATGGCATAGAGAGCGACGGGGAGTGTGAGCATGTTGTAGATTAAGTGATATTTAAGAGGCCATGAAAGAAATGCCGTCTCTGTGAGAACTCTGGATTCTTACTCAAGCAAGGCACAGGTAAAAAGATATTTTTGAGACAATTGGGGAGATTTTAACATGAACTGAGTATTAGATAAGATTATACAACACAGAGTTCTTGCTGATTTCAATTGCATATTGGTTTAAATGATATGCTGCCTGAAAAGCTCTTTTAAATGCTCCAGGGGGGTGGGAAATGGGTGAAGATTTTTGTAAATCAAAGAAGATAGGCAAAATTTGGTAACTGTTGAAGCTCGGTGATGGGTCCATGAGAGTTCATTATAATATTCTCTCTACTTTTAGGTGTATTTAAATATTTTTACAAAAAGAAAAACAGAAAAATAGTATTTTGATGAACTAAAACAACGTAGAAGACAGTTTGGAAAAGGGAAAAATCAGTTAGATGCCCATTTGCATATGAGGTAACAAAGGTCAGATGACAACAGAAAAGTAGGACTAATGCTAGACCTTTTGGAGGTCAAGGCAGGCTGACGTTAGGAAGGGAAGCCTAGAGAAAGGCAAACGTCAAAGGTGATACCAAGTCAAGCTTCGGTGACGTGCTGAGTGATGCCACCGTAAGCCTGGGGGTTGAGTGAGTTAATAGGAATGACACTCACTGTTATTAACATCTCTTTTTCTTACCCCACCAGGCTCTCTTCTCAGTGATCAATCTTAGTGACCCCAGCAAGGGAAGGGGTGGAGCAGCATGGTGTATTAGGGCAGCAGAAATGCTGAAACTGACTGCAACGTTGAGCGTTCCCTTAATAATGAGACTATATGGGGCAGAACAGCAGAGACCAGGGTCCCACTTGCCTTCACAGCCTTGGAGGGAGGGATGGAGGAATGCGTGATATTGAGTCAGCAGCCCACAGGGAGGGCTTCTGTGAGGGCTCAGGGCCCACCAGGAGCAGCGCGGCCCGATAGTCACATCCTGGGGACCAGTGCTCAACAACAACATGGAATTGCCAGAGGAGGATCACAACTGTGACAAGCAGGAACATGGAATCTCACGTTTTAGCACCAGAGGCTCGGAATTCTTGAATAATCCTATGGAAGAAAGGGAGGTGATCCCCAATAATGGCTGAGGTGGTTTCCCAGCAGACAGACAAGTGGGGCTCAGAGCAAATTTAATCTGATTTAGAGCACTAAGTATGGTACGAGGTTGACACTCACTGAATATTTCATGCCCTCCCCCTCCATTCCTCAGCCTCCCCTGTCGGAGCCACGTGACCGGTTCTGGGTCACGGACTGTGAATTGAAGTGACATGTGCGCTTCCGACCCCTCCCCTCCGAACACAGCAGCCTTTCAGGCTGCTTGTTCCAGATAGAGCTGTCACAAGAGCGTGAGGGGTCGCCTGGCCCAAAGCAAACGTCGCGGGAGTGAGAAACAAGCCTTCCGGTGTGAAGTCACTGAGACAACCTTACTGTTGCGCTTTTTACTTTTGCACGAGTTTGCATCATCACTCTGACTAGTGCAGAAATAGATGTGACATGTCCCATATCTTAGTCAGTAAAATAAATACCTAGTAGCTGTAACCATGCCCCACTCAGGGCAGTGAATGAGCTGGTTTGCAGGAAGTTACAAAGTCAAACTATTAAAGGTGGGAAATGTTTATCTGAGTTTAAGAGACCTAGGAAATAAGGGATGGTACACATGGAAGATACTGAAATCATGGAAATGCTTCAGAGGAAGTAACAGAAAGGATGGAAGGAAAGGAAGACGTTGACTCCCAAGATAAGTCCTGGCATGGAAATCCCAGTCTGGGGAAAGAGCATGGAGGTGTGGGAGGCTTTTGTGCACTGATGTGGGTCCCTGAAAGGTCCTGTGCAGGACAGCCACCTGCCTGAGCCCCTCACGACAGGACCGTTGATGAGAAAGAAATGAACTTATTTTGTGTGGAGCCACTGAAATTTGTTTGTTACTGAGCCTCCCAGGGTAACTACTGCATCTTTCTGTCCAGGGACTGAGAAGTGACACCAGGATGTGGACAGAATGAGTGTGAGGGATGGAGCAGGGATGCGGGGATAGCAAGGCGGAGGAACTGAGGGTGGGGGGGTTGCATGGGGAGTGTGTGTGGAGCCTGAAAAGCAGTGTGAGGTGTGTGGGAAGTTGGTGTACACACACGTGTGCATGATCTCACAGTCCTAGACACAGTGGAAAACCAGAGTTTTCTAGAACCTAAAAGACTGGCATTAAAGGCAAAAAAAGCAAATAGAATGGCTCTGACTGCCTCTCCCACCCGCCTCCTCCCAGTAAAACTCAAGGATGGTTAAGAGCAAGATCTCTGGAGTTAGACCTGGTTTTAAATCCTAACCCAGCACTCACTAGCTGAAGGACCGTGGACAAGCTATTCAACCTCTCGACATCACTTCTCGACATCATCTGTGAAAAAGGACACTTCTTAGTATTTATAAGGGGCTGAGCACAGTGTAGCACGCAGCAGACAGTCAACCAATGGAAACTTAAAAAAGTTCTAGCCCATTGCTCAGAATGGAGCCCCAAAGAAAACTGCACCGTGGCAACAAAATAAATACGTTCACTTTCTATGGCTTCTTTATTTTTAATAAGTTTTTTGTTGTTGATGATTTTGGGGGTTTGGAGGGGGGAGAATAGAATTTACAAACAATTCTTGATTACTTGTGGCTCTTGGGAGCCACGACAGAGTGAACACATGAGGTCCACAGGCGAAGGTTCCCCAATAAGTTCAACCAATAAGACCTTCTACAAGCGTTCTCACTTGTGAGCAGATAAACTGACTGGAGCTTGCAGCCTCCTTATGCCTTGTCTGTCCCCCTGACAAGGGTGCCTGGAGGCTGGGATGGGCCACCACTCCCAGGTACAGCCGAGTGCAGTCTGCCTGGGGAGGGGGTGGTGGTGATAAGATTGCAGCTGGGAGCCTCAGTGCCTGTTTAGTCTTTACCATCAAAATCAATCATAATTTTAAGCACTGTGGGGTTTTGCTCCAACTATTGTAAATTTAACAAATAATTACTTTGGAATGATAAAGCAAATAGCCAGTCTGCATACGAGGCCCGGGTTACTTTGCAGATTATCTGGAGTGCTTCTTAAACCCATCAAAAAGTAATTCTGAAATCTTAGTCACAGCCACCCAAAGATTTCCTCCCCCTACTGCAAGAAGGTTCCTGCTGTAAGTCAGGGACACCTACTCATTGACTAGAATAAGAAGAATGCAGTTTTTTTATGTTCTTAAAAATAAAAGTAGTACACAACGCTTTTTTCCCCTTTTTCTTTTTCTAGAGCGTCTACAGCGTTTCCCTGCTAATGCTATTCCAGCTGTGGGGTTATACTCTGAGTAGTGTTGAAATTCTCGACACTTCTAACTACTGGGTTCTCCATAGGAACGTGTACGCAACGGCTGGCTGCAGCGGGAGGACCTCAGGCTCTGTTAGGGACCTTCTTGTGGTTGTCATAGCTGATGCCACCAATGCCCTCGAGTATATTCATGGGCAGAGGGAACACAATGGTGGAGTTCTTCTCGGTGGCGACGGTGGTCAAGGTCTGCAGGTAACGCAGCTGGAGCGCTATGGGGGACTCGGCCAGCACCATGGAGGCTGACTTCAGAGATTTAGATGCATTCATTTCCCCTTCTGCTGCCAGGACCTAAAACGACAGAAATAAAAGCCTTCAGAAATAAAGTTTACAACTGTGACCTGCGCTTTCTTTTTCGGGATCTCTCCCGGTAACTCTCTCCCAGTCCCTGCTTGGCCACACGTGTTTCATCTCCTTAATTCTTTGGCAAGGATGAGAGTTTCACATCCTAATGTGATTAGAGACATTGGAGGAGGCTGCAGGAAGCAGGGAGACAGCTTACAAACTGCGAGTCCCTAGGTGTCATTTTCAAACAAAATCAAAGCATCGCCTTTAACCCCAGCAGGTACGGGTCCATCCACACTAGCGATGCTCTTGAATCACCTGGAGCCTCGCCATTTGCTGCCTTCGTTTTTGGAAAAGTCTGAAATGCAAGGCCTCCAGCTGGTGATTTCCTGTCGTTTTTACTTATCATAGATATTTTAATTTTATTCTGTTAACTTTGTCTCATTCTTAAGAATTGTTTCAGGTTCTCCCCACTCTTGATTACAAGCAGCAGCAAGGACCAGTCTGCAAACCCTCACTGGAAATCTCTTAAGTTCCTTGCTCTCTTGTGGTGCTCAGGGTGCCCGAGAATGACTTGGATCTCGGCTGTCCCGTCTGTGGGCACGCGCTGCCCGTGTGCAAAAGCACATCCTCGGTCCACAACTCAGAAGCTGCTGGGGCTCAGCAAACAAACCAGAGGGATAAGCAGAAGAAAACCTTCCCCGACTCCCAAGTAAGATTCCAAAGGTGTGCACCAAGGTTTCTAATCTTGGTTGGTTTGGGATACTTCAGGAAACCCTTCCACACAGACACGAAGGCTGTGGATCCAGCAGAGTCAAGAACACTCGAGGCCAAGCTGTGCTCACATTTTGTAATTCCAACCTGGGTTGCAGCCATCCCCCCTTCTCCTTTAAATCCAGTTCACTTAACGCACTAGAAGGAGGATGCTCAAAAGACAGGCACCGAGTGCCTACACCAGAATCGCCAGCTTTATAGAAATGCAGGTTCCTGGGCCCACCAGGGGACTCTGCTTCACTGAGTCAGGGGTGAGGCCTGGGAATTGGTGTCTGCTCTGCTCATTTCTCTCTGGAGGACTCTGCCGTGCGGCCGGAGGTGGGGACCCACCTTGCTAAGCCACTGGATGTGTGGCCGAGCGCCCTTGGCCCGAGACCTATTGTCAAGATTCCTCGAGGTACAGTAAGCTCCCCAACACCTTTTAATTCAGGGGGAGATTCTCAGTAAAAACTGTGAAAAAGAACCCTCTTCTTATCCAAATAATTGAGAGAGCCTGAGTTTCCTCGCAAGCTCCACCCTTGTCTGCTCCAAGGCTGGGCGGCCCGCCCTCCAGTGCAGACGGACACGCCCTTACCCTGGCCCTGGCTTCCCGGGTGGCCTCGGCCTCGGCCGCCATGGACCTCTGCAGCTGGATGGGGATCCTGACGTCTTTGATTTCCACTCGGGCCACCCGGATCCCCCACAGCTCGGTGGCATCGTCCAGTAAGGTCTGTTTCCAAATCAAAAGAAAGGACACTGATCAGACAACAGGTGCAGTGATCTAGGTTCCTAATACATTTTACATATGCAGGGAAATCCTCTTTTTTTTCTCCTTTTGTGTGGTCAGCATTTGGAGCGAGACGTGTGGGAAGGGACTAGGACTCACTGCTCACTTCCTGGAACTGAAGTAAATCTCAGGAAGGATTCAGAAACAAAACTTGATAGGTCTTTTAATGGGTGGTCACTCAGCGGGTCCACCCCAAACTGTTCCTACTGAAGTGTCTGTCTAGCTTCGTGCAAATATGCGAAATTTTCTTGTCACTGTCATCAAGCAGACAGCAATGACTTTTGTCCATTTACTGCTGTGAATCACTGGGTCAGTTACTTCACCTTTCTGATTCTCAGGTTTCATATCTGTAAGAGGTTTTCCTTCAGGATTGTCATGAGGATTGGAGATAATACATGTAAGTTATCTATCAGTACCTAGCAATGACTCCGTACATATTAGCACTGGGTGCTTTTGAAGATATTATCTGTCTTGCTCTGTTTAACCTCTGCCCTGTGGCCAGTTTTAAACAGGGAGCAAGGCATATTTTTTAGAGCAGAAGAAGCCTAAAATCAAGATACCCTTATCCTTTTTGCAAGCTTAAGACCATTGAAGATACCTTGCTGGTTATCCTGGAGCGGGAGGGATAAGAAAGGATGCCCTGAGAAACAGTGAGATCCGGTGGGTAGTTCCCGCAAAGGGGATAGAGCAGAGATCTCTGTGACGCCATATAGCAAGAGGGCCCTGGCCTTTCCATGATCCCTGCAGAGCCCCAGGAGACGGGGGGACACCACAAGAAATCAGTGACCTGACTGCGATGGGGAAACACCTGAGTCGTCAAACTTGTGGGGTTCTTAAAATGACATGGAGAGTTGCCATGCAGAACTGATATTATCGTGTAAAACCTGGGGACTTGGCACTACCGTAGGGACTGGGGGAGATGCCAAGAAGAACCAAAGTTGAATTTCCCTTGTAACTTACCGAGGGCAGGCTCAGAATGAAAATGTAATTGATTTAGGAAAATGTAGAAATGTGATTGTCTGTAATCCAGGGTCTACAGGAAGTGAGATGGCCCTGCTACATCCTCATCAGCATTATAATTATGATTACTATTAATATCATTATTGATATTAGTTGCAAGAAGTCAGATTTCCCAGGGATGACAGTCCCGTGCTGCCTCAATCAAATCCTCTTCTAACTTTCACGGTCCACTGAAACGCAGGAATACACGGGCTGCCTGAGAAATGGCAACCCTTCCTCTAGAGTGATCTAAACTAAAAAGAAATCTGGTCTCTAACCTTTTTGGAAAAGGCTAAGGTGTATGCTAATTCATAACTTTGAATTCCAAAGAAAATGGATACGGAGCGCAATTCCAACAGCTCCCGCCATCCACCAGATATTTAAATCTGGACCTCATGATTATAAAGAAGTGAAAACCCAATCGGAGACCCATCTGTTTAGGGCAGTTGTCTATGTGTGTGCGCCCATGAGGGGGTGCCTTGAACTGCCAATATTTGATTATCACTGATAATCAAAATGAGCAGATTGAAGATGAAGGTTCTTGGTGTCTTTACCTGGATGCTATGGGCGATCTCTTCTCGGCCAGCTAAGATTTGGGACAAAGTCTGTGTCCCTAAGACATTTCTCAGAGTGGTCTGAGCCAGCAGAAATGTGGCTTGGTGGACATCGTTGACATTTGCCACTGCCGAAACAGCGCTGTAGATTCTGTAATAGACCACGCCATCCACCTGAGTGGTCACAGAGTCTCTGGTGAGGATCTGGAGAGCAAGAACGTGGACAATCACATGCTTATGACTTTCACGATACTCAACAAAGGGTTGGCCAGCCCCAGAGCCCTGTCCACCAGAGGAGAGCATTAATGGCAACTTATGCCAGCATCACCCCAAATCTGTCCTGGCTTCAATATACTGTCATCCTAGTTGATAACAAAATTCCTACACAGGTATGCTCTGTACCTACCTCTGTAACTTCATCTTAGGGAAGTCTTACTTCCCATAGTCAGAGGCGAGAATGGTTATTTCCATTTTTAAAATGCAATAGTAGAGTTCGTGCCAGAATTCTACCGTCTAAATAGAGGAAGAACCACCTGTTTCCCTGATACCTGAAAACTTTTTGGTTCTGTTTCATCAAGCTTGATGAATAGCAGTGCTTCTTAAAAAACATAGATGGCACCAGAGACCATGTTCTATGTTCCAATAAAGAAAAATCAGTTTAGCTTTATAGAGGCTCTTCATTAACATGAGGACGTACTTTGGAGCAAATGAGATTTCTGGCGGTACCACGGAAGGAGAACCTAGAACCGCCTTCTCCCACCTGGAACTGTTTACCGTGGAGCAATAGCAAACATGATAGTCCCTAAGCATCCCATGTTTTCTTAGGATTAGGGCTGAATTCTAAAGTTGGACTCTGCCATTCCCACGAGAAGAAAACATCATTGTGGGGTATTGACTGAGTTTTCTGGACCCGAGAGAAAAAATTAACATTTACTCGTAAATGTTGATTTTCCCACTTCTCATCCTCTTTGCCCTCCCACACATTTTCTTTCCTCTTCCTGGATCATTTTGTTTATCAGAAAGTGGCATGATTATTAGTAAGTCTGTTTCTCTTTCCTATTACCCAGTTACTGGTTTGCATCATTCAGTTGAAATACTTTAGGAATTGAAAATAATTACTTGAAATCCAATTGCAGGTGGGCTCTGTGCAACGTCTGCTCTTTCCCCACACCAGCCCCAACTTAGTTGCATCCAAACACACAAAAGATTGTAAAGCAGAGAGGCAAGGGATACTGATATTACTAAGAAATTTTCTGAGAAGGTGATGGAGTAGATAATAACATCACCAGCCACTGACAAACACCAAATTAATTTCAGCCCCTTCGTACAGTGATTTATCAGACTTCCAAGCATCTGCTCTGTCATTCTGCGTCCCAGCTTCTCTGCCATCTGTATCCCTTCTCTCTCTTCTCTCAGACTTTCTCCCACCCAGATACTCCAAATCTTCCAGCAATTCAGCCCTTGCCCTTGGCTTCATTCCCATTTGGTGAAACCAAAGCCCAGCAATTTCAGGAGCCACCTAGGATCCCTTAAGCGGATCTTTAAGAATTCAGTTCCTCCTTCCCTTTATGGTTTAAAAACCTACTATAAAATCTCAATTGTCCATATAATAGGGAAGATGTTGGTTTACTTCCAGAAACACATCTTTGATCAGCGTTACCTCCTGTGGAGGGATGTTGCAAGTAACAGTCCGGAGATCAACCTTGACAAACACATCTATGCAGGGCAGGATCAGAATCAAACCTACGAAAAAGAAAATATGGTTTAAAATTTCACCCTATTGAAAGTGACTTCAACACATTGTCTCCTGGCTGTACAATACATTATTTTCATGGGACTATAAATACTTTTCAGATGGCCTTCAGTATGTACACTTTGGGGAAATTATTTCCTCCCACCAGTCAATGACTTAAAAAAAAAGTGGTTCCCTAGGAATTAAAATCTTTTGAAAAGAAGCTAAAGATTCTTGACATTTAATTTTTAGATTTTCTTCTGTAAAACATTCAACCTACTTATATCCAAGTGTTGACTTTGACATTTATTTAAAGGATATTTTGGAAATTGGCTTCCCATGTTAAATGTATGTGTATAAAAGATTCAAGCAATAGACTTTTGACCTTCAGTATCAGTGACTGTCAACATTCTCATTGATCTGCATTAGTACTGAAGGAATGTTAGAATTAAAATCTTCCCAGGATTTTAGTGTCCTTAAAATCAATGTATTACAAAATTTGTCATCTCTCTGTGGCTGTTTTCTGGTTTGTATACAATGGCATTCCTCAATCATAAACATTTTACTTCTCTCCAAGTTGTGAAATATTGGCCTGGGTGAAGGAAGGGCTAAGGAAACTCACTGAGGATCCTATGACTCCTTAACTTACCCTGGTGAGTGTTCTCTACAGCAAG